TATAACAATCTTTAAAAGGTGTGGGAATCCCTTCACACACCTTTTAAAGATTGTTATAAAATTTGTACTCAAGAACCTACATAATAAGCTCATTGAGACATCTCAACATGAATCTTGGCATCTTACTTAAGAAACAAACAAATTATCCTTGTCGACGGTACTTTTTTCTTCTTCTTTTTTTTTTAATAAAAAACAGTTACAAATTTTAGGAGGGAAATTAAAATCAGCACTCAAATTAGTTGGTCAATTGATAATAAACTTTAAAAGAATGTCTTGTATAAGAAAACAGATATTTTTTTAAAATAATATAAAAATTAGAGATCCCATATTTTAAAAGAGAAACAAATATTAAATAAATGGATAAAAATATAAATTATGTTGTTTATACAAATGTTTGATGATGTGATTAAAGAGATTAGTACAATCACGGTCGAGCACAGTGACATCAAGTATGAGGCACTTTTGGGAAGGTTAAGTAATTAATATACAAGTGCGATTCTTGAGACACAAGCTAGATAATTTAGTAATAAAGAACAGCATTTCCTTGCTTATTACGAAACTTTATTTTGATTGAATTGCTGTCAGGCTTTGTGTCTTAAAACAATGTTTTTGCAATGTGACAGGCATTTGCTTGCCGCAGATCAAGTTGAGAGAATGATTCTTATTTTTCTTATTTGATTCCTTCTCCTTCGGGCAGGTGTGGTTATAGTTATTTGTAATTTTGTTAAGATTATTTCATTTTGGTTAATTTAATTATTAAAAATAATTAATAATTAATATTTATATTTATTATTTAATAACTTAAATAAATTTATAAAATAATAATTTTAGATATTATATTAATTGTTTATGTGAATGAAAAATTATAAATAAATAAAATATTAATCAAACTAAATAATTTTTAAATAATTTTAACAAAAATTTTAAATAATCTTAACAAAATGAAGAGTGTCTATAACTATAACCCTTTGTTGCAAAAAAAATAAAAATAAAAAATAATAATAATAATCCTCACCTTCTGCTTCATCCGCTTGTCTGTCAATCCAATGCCAATCCATCTTCCCTCCAATTAGAAAGAAGGTTTAAGTTCGATCTTGCTCTCTTAACTTTACATACGTTGATTTAAGGTTACAGTGATTAAAATTCAGTAGATAATGGATAATAGATAATGGACAACAAATAGTGATAATAAATAGTGGATAACAATTATTGGATAATGGGTGATAAATAACGAAAAATAGATAATAGATGGTAAACAATAAATAGCAGATTCGATTAATATAATTATTTAATTATACCATAGTTAATTATTATTATTTGAAATCAAATGACTAATAAGAATATATTTAAAAATAATTAAGTGTATTTTTTATTTTTTTATTAATTTTATTAATTTTACAAAAAAATAATAAATAAATAAATAAATTATAATAATGTAATCATATACTAATCTTTATTTTTAATAAATAAAAAATTATATTAGTTTTAAATAAAGCATAAAAAAATTTTAATCTTGTTGTATAATTAGTAAATTTTGTGTATTAAGCCAATATATATATTTTTTATAATCAATTAATGTAAAAATATATAATACTTACTTAATATTATTAAAGATAAAAAAATAAAGTTAAAACTAATTAGATAAACATTAATTAAGAACCATAAAAAATAAAAAATTAAAAAAGATAAATTTGTAAATAAAATTAAAAAAGTTCAATCTACCAATAATTTGAACCCTACCCTCTATCTACTAATTATAAATCACTAAATAAAAAGTTTTACTAAATATATAGTTTTTAACAGTTTCAAAATAAATAAATTTACTAAATACTTATTTTTATTGATTTGAATATAACCGCTAATCACTACTTTCAAATCACTATACCAAATAGATCCTCAACCCTTAAATTAAATAAATCTTTATTTTAATTCTTAAAGTTTTAAAATTTGACTCTTTTAGTCCCAAAATAAGAATATAGTTAGTTCAAACCTTCACGGACCAAGTTGGAGGTCCACAAAAAAGTTCAAGAACCAAAATTAGAACTTAACCAAATAGTAATTTTGTAATTAAATAAACTTTAAGGTTAATATGGACAATGAATTTTGTCTACATCATCAATTTTTGTGATGTGGAATTTTAACATCATTAATTTGAAGAAAAAATTAGATTAATTTTAAAATCAATTAACATGTTGTCTCTTAGGGAAAGTCCTAATAGTTAAAATTAAGTTTGAATTCTAGGATGGGTGAAGAAAGATTTAGGAAAGGTAAGGAGAAGATTATTTCTTATTGTATACTTGATCATCCGACTTACAAAAGCAAATCAATTAATATACCATTTATGCCAGAATTTAAAGAAAGAACCAAAAAAGAGCCAAAATTGAAAATGTTTGGGACAAAAATAAAGATTTATTTAATTTAAAAAATCAAATTAAAGGTCACTATCCAAATTGAGATACCAAAATTGAGATTTAACCCAGAAAAATTAGTTTAAAAAATCTTGAATAGATGTAGTAGTAAATAAGTATTATTAGCATTTAAAAAAATTTAATTTCATTTAGGGCCTGTTTGGTACAACGGTTAAAATTCAGCGGATAGCGGTTAGCGGATAGCAAGTAGCGGATAGCGGATAGCAGTAGCGGGTAGCAGGTGACGGATAGCGGAAAGTGGGTAGCGGATGGTAAATAGCGGATTTGATAAATATAACTATTTGGTTATACAATAGTTAACAATTGTTGTTTAACATTAAATGACTAATAAGGACATGTTTAAAAA